AAAGAGTCGAATCGGGAGAGAGTTTAAAGAATAAATGGAAGCACGCATGAAAAATAAAATCCATTCAATAACTTATTTAAATAAAAAAATATTACTAATAAGAGGTTTTTACATTCGGATAAATACAAAATAGTATACTGCTTTCGTAGCTTATAAGTATAATAATATAGAATTAAGTATAATAATGTAATATAGAATATAATAATATATTCTATATTACATTATTATACTTAATATAAAACGAAGTTTATATTTTTTTTTACATATTTCCAGTATCATTTAAATGATTTTTTTTTTGTCGTATACTAGTAAATGTAAAAGATTTTCTTTCGAAAGTGTTTTGTTTTTAGTTTCTATTATGTAAATATAAATAGAAATGATTCAATAAGACATGATTTTATAGAAAGAATCATAGAATTTTAGTGTACAGTAATTTAATCGATAGAGTCAATCTTTCGCAATCCGTCACTTGGAAACGCGCCCTTTAAGAATTAAAGGCACCCCCTAGGGTAAAATACCAAAAATACCAAAATACCAAAAATATGGCAACTGCCCAGATGTCGAGCTTACTCCACGTTCGTGTCTTTGATTGCCCAGTTGTTACAGCTGCTTATACTCCGTTCTATTTATATTTAGGATTTATACTCCGATCTAGCAAATCAACACAGCCAACAACGATAAAAAGACAATTATCGCAGTGAATAAGAACATAGTCGGCAATACCGAAAACAAAGAAAGTCAGAATAGATCAAATGTAATGTTGTTTGTCTTTTTTGATTGATAAATAAACGTTTATCATGGGTTCGTTTAACGAGTTTCAAACAGTCAATGCTCTCTCAAGCAGTGCGACAGAAGAAGCCTCAATTTTTGAGAGACAAGACGTTAATGTTTCACCACGATAAGATACCTATACCATCGCCATTCCCTATTAGTGAATTTCCGGCGATTGTCGTTCCACAGCCTTCTCAATCTCCAGATTTGCCCCTGGGGACTTATCCATTTGCTAAACTGAAATTTACTATGGTGATAAGATTGAGACACATCACAAATAAAGTATGCAAGAGCCTTTACCATTAAAATAGGATTATATTACTTAAATTGCTTTTTAGAAGGGCTGCGAAACACTAACGCAGCTCACCGCACTCACCGCCATCACATCTTTCGAAACCAAACCCCAAAATCATGTGTGTTGCCAAATACTCTCCCATAACTTCTGACAAATCATCTGAGAGAGAGAGAGAGAGAGACAGTAGTAAATAGAGAGCGCATGAACGCTGCTGCGAAGATTTAATGTTCAGTTAATTTAAGAAGACTCAATAACCTTCATAAGAGAAGATTTAATTACCTTCATGCGAGCACACAAAAGAATTTATAATGCAGAATTGAAGACACATTCTGAGTGGTGTATAAATAAAAGGAGATATATTAAATTCTGGGGGAATAAAAGTTTAATGATAATCAAAAAATAAAATTATTTAATTAAAAAAAGAAATAATTTTTTTCGTAATATTTGATTACAATTTTTCACAAACGAAATAATAAATCCAGGGATAAAAGCTGAATTTATTTTAAAACTATGTTTTAAAAACAATATTATTATTAATTAATATATTATTATGTTGTTGTTTTTTTTATCCCACTTGGTCGAAAGCAATATCTAGACCACAAGTTCATGAATCCGTAAAAAAAAAAAAAAAAAGGGTAAAAAGGTAAAAAATTCGGGTAAAATATTGTAAAGGTATTCTGATAAAGGATAAAAAATTCAGCTTCTTTTTGTCCTTGACCTTGAGGCAGAAAGACATGGGGTACACAAAGTCAAAAGTCATACTTTATAAATGTTTTAGTTTTAAGTTATTCTTGAACATACGCACGCATATACAGGCATGTTTATGTATGTAAATTACACAAAGAAATACTACCACTAACTTTATATACCACATTAATAAAAAAAATTGAAAATGTCTGTTAAATTCAGCGTTACTTACATTTTATTCTCTTATTATTTAAAAAAGAAGTACACATTTATCCTGAACTGCATGAAATATAAACACAAGAAAAATGGCATAACTCCCAATTATGGATGAGAAACCATGAAAGATTATTGGTTTGGTTTTTAACAAACATTGGTTTATTTCTATACCTCCCATTTGGGTCTATATCGGAACCCTTTCTCATAACAATATCGTACAATAAAAAGTATTTCGTCTGTTCTACCTCACATTGTATAGTGCGATTTACAAAGGAAACCAGCGCGAAATGTGACATGGACGCATGATAAATCTGCGCTTGAGGAAATTTATTTTATGGATGGGATGAATCATGTCCTCCGGGAAGTATAACGCTCGCCATTTTCTGTTGGCAAGAAAAGATTGAATACCATCCACTACAATGCTTTCTGTGTGAAAAACGAAATAATGGTTCTTTATCCGGTGAACTTTTATTTATTTATTATTTTTTTCTTTTTTTTGCTTAAAAAATCATAAATATTCTTCGTCTATCTCGTAGTATATAAACTTTTAATAAATTTTATTTAGCTAGATAATATTAATCTTGTGTTAGCTATTTTAATTTCGTATTGTGAACGAGTAAACTATAAAAATAAAATAAATGTTACAAATGAAAAAAAAATTTTTAATTCCTCAATTGCTCGGAATAAATTCGGATTTATATCCTGTTAAATTATCTTTAATTTTAATTAGACAAAACGTCTTTCGACAAATGAAATTCGTTTTTTTTTTTATTTTAAATTATAGTGTAATATAATTTTCAGAATAAGAACAATTTTTAAACTTTTGATTAAAAATGCAAATATTATTATAACTATAAAATATAACTGTATAATATTAATATAACTGTAAAATTTGGTTGAATGATTGAAAAAAGTTATTTTAAAACCATATTATTATTAATAAATATATTATATTCTTGTTTTTCAACTCACTTGGTCGACAGCAACATCTAGACCAAGTTCATGAATCCGAGGCGAATCACGATAAAGGGTAAAAAATTCAGCTTCTTTTTGTCCTTGACCTTGAGGCGCTAAGACCTGGAGCATCCAAAGGCAAAAGTCAGACTTAATAAATATTTCAGTTTTAGTTATAGTTTTTAGTTTTAGTTTTTAGTTATGATTCAACATACGCACACACATACATGCCTTTTTATGTACATAGACTCCACAAAAAATATTACCAATGACTTCATATACCGCATTAATAAAAAAAAAATTTAAAATGTTAAATTCAACGTTACATTTTATTCTTCTATTATTTAAAAGAAGTACGCATTCATTCTGAGCTCCATGGAACATAAATAGAAGAAACCTTTCAACAAAACTCCCAATTATGGATGAGAAACCATGAAAAATTATTGGTTTGGTTTTGAGCAAACAATGGTTTATTTTTATACCTCCCATTTGGGTCTACATCGGAACCCTTTCCCTCTAACAATATGGTGCAATAAAAAATATTTCTTCTGTTCTATCTCACATTGTATACTGCGATTTACAAAGGAAACCTGCACGAAATGTGACATGGACGTATGATAAATCAGCGCTCCAGGAAATTTATTTTATGGAAAGGATGAATCATGTCCTCCGGGAAGTATAACGCTCGCCGTTTCCTGTTGGCAAGAAAAGATTGAATATCATCCACTCCGATGCTTTCTGTGTGAAAAACGAAATAATGGTTCTTTATCCGGTGAATTTTTATTTTATTTAAAAATCATAAATATTCTTCGTCTATCTCGCAGTATATAGACTTTTAATAAATTTTATTAGCCTAGATAATATTAATCTTTTGTTTGCTATTTTAATTTTGTATTCTAAAAGAGTAAACAATAAAAATAAAATATATAATTTCACAATTAAAAAAAATTCAAAACATTTTTTAACTACTTGGAATAAATTTAGCTCTATATCCTGCTAAAATATCTTTAATTTTGATTAGACAAAACTTTTCTCGGCATAAAAAATTCGTTTTATTTTATTTTAATTTATAGTAATATAATTTTCAAAGTAATAATAATAATTCTTAAACTTTTCCTTAAAATACCAAATATTATAACTATAAAATATAACTATATAATATTAATATAACTGTAAGATATGGTTCAATGATTGAAAAAAATTGTTTTAAAACTATATTATTATTGATAAATATATTATTATATTGTTTTTTTTTTATCCCACTTGGTCGACAGAAATATCTAGACCACGTCCATGAATCCGCGACGAGCCATGATAAAGGGTAAAAAATTCAGCTTCTTTTTGTCCTTGACCTTGCGGCATAAAGACATGGGACACCCAAAAGCAAAAAGTCAGACTTTATAAATGTTTTAGTTTTAAGTTATGCTTGAACATACGCACACATATACATGTTTTTTTAGGTATATAAAATACACAACAAATATTACCAATGACTTTACACAACACATATATAAAAAAAATGAAAATATCTGTTGAATTCAGCGTTGCTTACATTTTATTCTTCTATTATTCTTTTTAAATAATAAAAAAAAATGTCAGCAACGCTGAATTCAACAGATATTTTCATTTTTTTTTATTAGTTAGTACACATTTATCCTGAACTGCATGGAACATAAATAAAAGAAAAAATTCAACAAAACTCCCAATTATGGCTGAGAAACCATGAAAAATTATTGGTTTGGTTTTGAACAAACAATGGTTTATTTCTATACCTCCCATTTGGTTCTATATCGGAACCCTTTCCCTCTAACAATATCGTACAATAAAAAATATTTCGTCTGTTCTATCTCGCATTGTATAGTGCGATTCACAAAGGAAACCTGCGCGAAAAGTGACATGGACGCATGATAAATCGGCGCTTCAGGAAATTTATTTTATGGAAAGGATGAATCATGCCCTCCGGGAAGTATGACGCTTACCGTTTTCTGTTGGCTAGAAAAGATTGAATGCCATCCACTCCGATGCTTTCTGTGTGAAAAACGAAATAATTGTTCTTTATCCAGTGAACTTTTATTTTTAAACCGGTTCTCGTTAGATCACCGAAGTCAAGCATCATTGGGCGTGGTCAGTACTTGGGTGGGTGACCACCTGGGAACACCGCGTGCCGTTGGCAAATTTGGGACCTGAATGGCCGAGTGTCTAGCGCTCTGGCGCTCGGTGTCACAGGTTTCGGGTTCGAATCCCGGCGGTGCCATGGATGTCTGTAGTGGTTCGGAATCCACTTTAAGCCGTAGGTCCCGGTCTCCTAGGACTGTAAGAGCGTCACGGAGCAAAAGTCAGGCTTCTACCTACGGGTGCTCCATCCCAACAGAAGCTGCTTCCTTCCCCTTCAATCATGAGCACGTATGGGCTCGTGGGCTTGGCCAGCCAAGTGGGATGAAACAAAACAACAACAACTTTTATTTTAATTTCTTTAAAAATCATAAATATTCTTCGTCTATCTCGTAGTATGTAGACTTTTAATAAATTTTATATAGCTAGATAGTGTTAATCTTGTGTTTGCTGTTTTAATTTCGTATTCTAAAAGAGTAAGCAATAAAAATAAAATAATGTTACAATTTAAAAAAAGAATTTCAAATCATTTTATAAATTCAGATTTATATCCTTTTTAAATTACTTTTAGTTTTGATTAGACAAAACGTCTTTGGACAAATAAAATTCGTTTTTTTTTTTTTTTAATTTTAAATTATGGAAATATAATTTTCAGAATAAGAACAATTTTTAAACTTTTGATTAAAATACAAAATAAATAGCTATATAACTATTAATGTAACTTTAAAATATGGTTGAAAGATTGAAAAATTATTTTAAAACTATGTTTTAAAATTATATTATTATTAATTAGCATATTATTTTGTTATTCTTTCTATCCTACTTGGTCGACAGCACAACCTAAACCAAGTCCATGAACGTGACGAATTATGATAAAGGGCAAAAAATTCAGCTTCTTTTTGTCCTTGACCTTGAAGCATAAAGACATGGGTCATCCAAAGGCAAAAGTCAGGCTTTATAAATGTTTTTGTTTTAAGTTATGATTGAACATACGCACACACTTACATGTCTTTTTATGTACATAGATTCCACAAAAAATATTACCAATGACTTTATATACCGCATTAACAAAAAAAAAAAAAAATTAAAAATGTCTGTTAAATTCAACGCTACTTACATTTTAATCTTCTATTATTTAAAAAGAAGTACACATTTATTTTGAACTGGAACATAAACAAAAGAAAAATGGCAAAACTTCCAATTATGGATGAGAAACCATGAAAAATTATGGGTTTGGTTTTTGAACCAACAATGGTTTTTTTCTATACTTCCAATTTGGGTCTATATCGGAACCCTTTATCTCTAACAATATGGTACAATAAAAAGTATTTCGTCTGTTCTATCTCGCATTGTAGATTGCGATTTACAAAGGAAACCTGCACGAAATGTGACATGGACGCATGATAAATTTAACAGCGCTCCAGGAAATTTATTTTATGGAAAGTATGAATCATGTCCTCCGGGAAGTAGAACGCTCGCCGTTTTCTGTTAGCAAGAAAAAATTTGAATACCACCCACTCCGCTTTTTGTATGAAACGGAATAATGGTTCTTTATCCAGTGAACTTTATTTTATTTTGTTTAAAAAATCATAAATATTTTTCGTCTATCTCGTAGTATATAGACTTTTAATAAATTTTATTTATTTATATAATACTAATCTTGGGTTACTAATTTTAATTTCGTATCTTTAAAGAATAAATTGCAAAAATAAAATAAATAATGTTGCAATTAAAAAAAAATTCAAACCATTTTTTTTAATTACTTGGACTAAATTCGGATTTATATCCTGTTAAATTATCTTTAATTTTGATTAGGCAAAACTTCTTTCGAAAAGATTTTTTTTTTTTTTTTTTTTTTTTTTTTAATTTATAGAAAAAATATAAAATAATTTCTGAACTTTTGATTAAAATAACTTTTAAAAGAACTTTTGATTAAATTTTTTTTTTTTTTAATTTCGTATTCTTAAAGTATAAACGACTAAAATAAAATAAATAATGTTAGAAATAAAAAAAATTCAAAATTTCCTGATTATTTATTATTAATTAGTAATAATTATTGGTTAATTATTTCCTAATTACTTGGTATAAATTCAGATTTGTATCCTGTTAAATTATCTTTTTTGATTAGACAAAAGTCTTTCGGCAAAGAAAATTCCTTTTATTTATTTTAATTTAGAGTAATATAATTTTCAAAATAATAATAATTTTTAAACTTTTGATTAAATACCAAATATTATTATAACTGAAAAATATAACTATTTAATGTAAATAGAACTGTAAAATAGGGTTGAATGATTGAAAAAAAGTATTTTAAAACTATAATTTTATTAGTAAATATATTATTTTGTTTCTTATCCCACTGAGTCGACAGCCACATCTAGACCAAGTCCATGAATCCGTGGCGAATCAAATAAAGGGTAAAAAATTCAGCTTCTTTTTGTCCTTGACCTTGAGGCGCTAAGACCTGGGGCATCCAAAGGCAAAAGTCAGACTTTATAAATGTTTTAGTTTTAAGTTATACTTGAACATACGCACACATAACATGCATTTTTGTGTATATAGATCACACAAAAAATACTACCAATGACTTTATATACCACTTTAAAGAAACATTTAAAATTTCTGTGAAATTCAGCGTTACTTATATTTTATTCTTCTATTATTTAAAAAAGAAGTACACATTTATTCTGAACTGCATGGAACATAAACAGAAGAAAAATGGCAAAACTCCCAATTGTGGATGAGAAAACATGAAAATTTATTGGTTTGGTTTGGTTTTTGAACCAACAATGGTTTATTTCTATACCTCCCATTTGGGTCTACATCGGAACCCTTTCCCTCTAACAATATGGCGCAATAAAAAGTATTTCGTCTGTTCTATCTCACATTGTATAGTGCGATTTACAAAGGAAACCTGCGCGAAATGTGACATGGACGCATAATAAATCAGCGCTCCAGGAAATTTATTTTATGGAAGGGATAAATCATGTCCTCCGGGTGGTATAACGCTCACCGTTTTCTGTTGGCAAGAAAAGATTGAATACCATCCACTCCGATGCTTTCTGTGTGAAAAACGAAATAATGGTTCTTTATCCAGTGAATTACATTTATTTTTCTTTAAATAATCGTAAATATTCTTTGTCTATCTCGTAGTATATAGACTTTTAATAAATTTTATTAACCTACATAATATTAATCTTGTGTTTGCTATTTTAGTTTCTTATTCTAAAAGAGTAAACGACTAAAATAAAATAAATTATATTATAAATAAATAATTCAAAATATTTTTTTAATTACTTGGACTAAATTCAGATTTGTATCCTGTTAAATTATCTTTAATTTTGATTCGACAAAACGTCTTTTGGCGAAGAAAATTCTTTGTATATATATTTTAATTTAATAAAAAAAAAAAAGATAAAATAATTGTCTGAATAATAATAATAATTTTTGAATTTTTGATTTCGTATTCTTAAAGTGTAAACAATAAAAATAAAATAAATAATGCTACAAATAAAAAAAAATCAAAATTTCTTAATTACTTGGTATAAATTCAGATTTATATCTTGTTAAATAACCTTTAATTTTGATTTCGTAAAACAACTTTTGGCAAAGAAAATTCGTTTTTTTATTATAATTTATAGTAATATAATGATAATTTTTAAACTTCTCTTTAAAATACCAAATATTATTATAACTATAAGATATAAAAATATATATTAATATAACTGTAAAATATGGTTGAATGTGTGAAAATATTTTTTTTTAATACTATGTCATAAAATCTATCTTATTATTAATAAATATATTACTATTTTGTTGTTTCTTAACCCACTTGGTCGACAACAATATTTAGACCAATTCGACAACAATATTTAGACCAATTCCATGAATCCGTAACAAGTCACTAGGGTAAAAAAATTCAGCTTATTTTTGTCGTGGACCTTGAAGCATAAAGACATAGGCCAAACAAAGGTAAAAGTTCGACTATATAAATGTTTTAGTTTTAAGTTAGTGTTGAACATACGCACACATATACATGCATTTTTACCTATATAGATTACATAAAAAGTACTACCAATGACTTTATATACCGCATTAATAAAATTAAAATTAAAATGTCAGTTCAATTCAGCGTTACTTGCATTTTATTCTTCTAGCATTTGAAAAAGAAGTGCACATTTTTTTTTAACTGCATGGAACATAAACAGAAGAAAAATGGCGAAACCCCCAATTATGGCTGAGAAACCATGAAAAATTATTGGTTTGGTTTTGAACAAACAATGGTTTATTTCTATACCTCCCATTTGGGTCTACATCGGAACCCTTTCTCTCTAACAATATGGTGCAATAAAAAATAGTTCGTCTGTTCTCTCACGATGTATATTGCGATTTAGAAAGGAAACCTGCGCGAATTGTGACATGGACGCATGATAAATTAGCGCTTCAGGAAATTTATTTTGTGGAAAGGATGAATCATGCCCTCCGGGAAGTATAACTCTCGCCGTTTTCTGTTGGCGAGAAAAGATTGAATACCATCCACTCCGATGCTTTCCGTGTGAAAAACGAAATAATGGTTCTTTATTCAATAAATTTTATTTTATTTTCTTTAAAAATCATAAGTATTTTTCGACAATCTCGTAGTATATAGACTTTTAATAAATTTTATTAACCTAGATAATATTAATCTTGTGTTTGCTGTTTTATTTTCGTATTCTAAAAGATTAAAGAATAAAAATAAAATAAATAATGTTACAAATGAAAAAAAAAGTTCAAAATTTCTTAATTACTTGGAATATATTCTTTCTTGGAATTAAATTCTTGGAATTAAATATCTTTAATTTTGAGAAAACAAAAAGTTTTTTTTGCAAATAAAATTCTTTATATATATTTTTTAATTTATAGAAAAAATATAAAATATATAAAATTATTTTTTGAATAATAATAATAATTTTTGAACTTTTGATTAAAATAACGTTTAAAAGAACTTTTCATTAAATAATGTTTTTTAATTTCGTATTCTTAAAGTGTAAACGACTAAAATAAAATAATGTTATAAA